AATCTAATAGTTAATGTTTTGCAACCTGAACTACAAAACACCCTTTTTTGTAAATTAATATAGTAGTAACTATTGAGAGATGTCCTAGAACCAGAATTATTGGGTGCAGACTGGCTTTTGAATTGTTCAACACATACAATTGTAAAATGTAAATCAAGGAAGACAGCAGGAATACAGTTTTTGCTGCATGTTCTCTCTTTGACTTGACATTCTTACTTTGATTGTGCAATAATATTCCAATTTCCTCATGATTTTAATTGCTTACTAATTTTTTCTAGTATAGACCCCTCTTATCAATTCTAGTTAATACAAGAAAGGAGAAAGGAAGATGATATAATGTGCAGGCATTTAGATGAGATTGTTGTTGAGGAGTAAATAAGGGAAAATGGTCCCATCCCATCTGTGTATGAAGTTTGATGTTGCATCATTCACTACATCATTTATAGATATGGCTCTCTGTACATTCAGCACACAACCCATTTTCTTACCTAATTTTTTTAATATATATATATACACATAGGCTTTTATTAAATCAAAATTCCGTAACACTTTCAACATTATGATCATGATATATATGTATATATATTGTACGAGAAAAAAAAATTAACATATTTTGGTATTTAAAATATGACGATTGTTTATAAAATTATTTAAACAATTTAATTAATTTTTTTGTACGTATTAATGTGTTAGAAGTATTTAAATTTGTATATTATTATTCTTAAAACTTTAATAATTATTAAAAAATCATAATTTTTATAATAACATATTATATTATGCGAGACATATTGTTTTTGGTCTTCATTAATAAACAAAAAGTCAATATGGTAGTGAGAAACAAGAGATTCATTATACGTTCGTCATGTTTAAAACTTCGGATGCACCATATTTACCGCGAAGCTAATACAGTTGGGGACCATCTAAGATAGGAACTACTTTAATTACTGTTATTATTTTGAAACAATGCCCAACTGGTGTGTATTTTATGCTTTATTGGGAATTTGGGATGTAATTCGGAATTTAATTCCAAGGACTATTACCATCTAATGCATTATTCCATCTCTTTTTACCAAAAAAAGAATGTTTGAAAATTCAAAAACAATTAACACTACAACACTGTTTACAAAAATGGATTTGTTTAATATACCAAAAATAATAGATTTGTCTAATATGGATTTAATAAATATATTTTTTTATAATTAATTTATGTAAAATTTATTATAAAAAGTTAATTTTTATTTTAACATCATTGTCATAAAAATGATTTTTTATTAATTAATTAATTAAATTTTAATTATTATCTATATTTTTAGTATAAACCAATTAGAAAAATATATTTATTATATCTTTAATATATGTTTAAGTGCACAACTTAAACAAATTATAATACTAGTATAATAATTGTGGTTAATGTTATCATTTACTTCCTCCTCCTAAAATAATACACTTTTTTATTTAGAATTATTTTTAAATTAATAGTTATTTTTTTTCTTGTGTTAATCTTATCACTTTAATTATTTATGAAAAAAAAAAGTGTGTCAATTTCAACTTTTAAAATAAATTAAAATCTTAACATTAAATTACGTTATTTTATTTGATTAAAATTTAATTTAAAATTTAAAAATCTAACTTATTAAATGTTAATATTTAAATTTAAAAACTTATTATATTAAAATATAAAATCGATTTCTAAATTTAAAAATTCATATTTAATAAAATATATTTTTAAATTTTAAAATAAAATTTTAATTTCTAAATATATATTATAATTTTAATTTTAAAAAAAATTAAAACTAATACATACTAATCTCATTATTTATTTCACCTTTTTATAATTGATAATAGATAAATTGTCCTCAAATTAATATATATATATATATATATATTATTGTGTGCAACAAAGAGTAAGTCGGTAAGGAAGAAAACAAACACATGAAACAAGACAACGAAACAGAAGGTCTGGTTTTATAAATACTGACTTAAAGGCGCCTCCTTTTCATGCCTCATAATATCTTTCTCACACTTCTTGTTAACTGCAACTTTCATGTCTCCCCAAATAGCAAAACCAGCTCAATCCTCCCTACTTTAGCCCCACCCATCCACCACTTTCCTCATTTAAATTCTCCCTTTCCCACAAAGTTCCATCCACATTTCCATATTAATTCTTCAAAACAAAATTATGGAGGGTCAGGGGAGGCTTGGTTTGGTTTTCCTCCTCCTCCTCCTCTTACTGTCTCTTTCCCAATCCTTGAATTCAGTGGAGGAGGAGCACCAGAATTCCCTCAAGTTGGAATTAATACACAGACATGCCCATCCACAGCTGAACTCAAGGCATAAAACCCAACTCGACCGCCTCAAGGAGCTTCTTCACCATGACATGATTCGCCTGAACATGATTGCCCATAAGCGTCGATTAGGCCAAAATCCACCGGCAGCCGGAGGAACGGTGAGAAAGAGCAATGGCAGCATAGAAATGCCGATTAACTCGGCCAGAGATTATGGGTTGGGGGAGTACTTTGTGTCGTTTAAGGTGGGTACGCCGTCACAGAAGTTCACCTTGGTGGTGGATACCGGTAGTGAATTAACGTGGATGAATTGTAGATATCGGTGCGGGACAAGGTGTAGGGAGAATGGGAGGAGAATTAATCGGCGGCCGGTTTTCTGGGCTGATCTTTCGTCGACGTTCAGGCCTCTCCCCTGTTCCACATGGATGTGTAGAGTTGAGCTCATGAACCTTTTCTCCCTCACTACTTGTCCAACACCACTCAACCCATGCAACTTTGATTACAGGTATGCATCTTAATCACCTCCAAATTCAATTTTCTTATTATATTTTTTAATCGGCAAAGGAAATTAGTACTTAACATTGCTGGATTTGAATCCTTAACTCGAAATTAAGGTTTGAAAATTTAAATTGTATAATCATTTCAATTAATTTGTTTAAAATATGGCTGAATTTAGGGGTGGAAGAGAGAAGAAAGAGATAAAGTACAAATTGTCCTTTTTTAAGACTCTGGAGACAAGAAACAAGAAATTGCCCTTCTTGTGTTGTTTGTTTGGATATTTTGAATAAAGTCACTTAATTTAGTTAATTTATGTTTAAACCATAAAAGGATTTTTTACATCAAAAAAAACCATAAAAGGATTAGTTTACCTCGGGATTTGAATGAAAATGAAAGCATTAAGGGCAAAGAAGTTT